TGCCCCACCCCACCATATCTCCCTCTCTAAAAAAAAAAAAAAAAAAAGTACGGGACGGGACGGTTAAGCATCTGCCTTCGGCTCAGGTCATGGTCCCAGGGTTCTGGGATTGAGTCCCGCATCGGGCTCCCTGCTCAGCGGGGAGCCTGCTTCTCCTTCTGCCTGCCACTCCCCTTGCTTGTGCTCTGTCTCTCTCTCTCAAATAAATAAATAAAATCTTAAAAAAAAAAAGTACAGGAAATCACTGTGCCCAAGGTCAGTATGAAAAAAGTGCCAAAGGACCTCAGAGAAGGAAGCACCTGCACATGGTTAAGTATCGGAAAAATCGACATGGAGGAAGTGACATTCCAGTTGAGTGTGAAGGGGCAGGAGCATACTGCCGGGGTTGGGATGTGGGTGGGGGAGGACTGTGAAGTTAGAAGGAACAGTGTGCCAAGGATCCCAGTTTTGGAAAATGGAAACTGACCAGGTGACTCTGCGTAGGCCTACAAACCCAGCACAACAAGCTTGGCCTCCAGACTCCTTCCAACTCAGCTGACTAAAGCTCCACGCTGGGCAGATAGGCCAGGGGAGTATACAGGCTGCCAGGACAGGATTACCCCCCGGGAAGGGCCTGTGATATTCCCTAGACTGAAGCTGCATTTTCAGAGGCCTGATAGCGGTTGAACTAAGAGAAAGACAATGGACCTACTCTAACTACTAACCTCAAAAATATTTTGACAGTGGACAGCACGGCCTCAGATACACATGTTTGCATCCTGATTATGCCATTACCAGCCCTAGGCCTTGGGCAATTCATCTCATTTTGCCAAGCCTCCATGTCCTCATTCGCAAAATAGATACGCTTCTCAAGATTGGTGTGATTAAGTAAAATAATGTAGGGAAAATGCTAGGAGTCTGCTTCATAGCAGGCACTCCACAAAAGGCCATTGTTATTTCTACTTTTGTTTACAGCAACATCTGTGGCTAAGAAACACTGGACTTAAATCCAGAGAGCTAATCTAACTTCCATTCTGCCACCTACACACTCTGGGGGAAAAAGCATCTAATGTGGTTTAGCAGCTACTTTGTTTCGGGTACTGGGCTGGTTCTTTATGTACTTAATTTTTCTTTAAAATGAGGATAGAACCCTGAAATAGGTGTTATTATCCCCATTTTAAGAAACTTAAGTTCAGTAAGATTAATTTATAAGGTCACAGAACTAACAGGAGATCCAATTGAGATTTCAACCCAGAATGTGTGAGCCTAGCTCCTTGCCCCACAACCATCAAGCTGAGGTAACCAGGCTGCCTAGTGAGGCACGGGAAGACAGAGGAGGGGAGAAAGTAAAGGGAATCAACAATCGGTAAAGTGACCCATTCATTAGGGTTCTATTTTTAATTCCCCAAGCTGTTTCCCCAGCTTTACTAGAGGTTATAGTTGGAACCCATTACAGCAATAGCTGGTACCCAGGCCTCCTTTTGCTCTGTTAGTGATTCGAGTCCTAAAAATTAGCCCTGGGGGACAGGGCAGCTTTAGGACTCTTTATAAAAAAGAACCGATGTTGCTTGTTTCACTCTACAGCATAGCAACTTCGCTTGACTGCAATTTTATAGCTGGAGACGTTCTCTCCATTTGAACCAACCCAGTTCAACCTAGAGATCAGTCTCTCCATCCCTAGCAGTCATCTGTGGAGAGAGGCGCTGACCGTCGCAAGTCCTGAGAAGACAGGAGCATACCCAGATTGAGCTGGCATTGGGTAATCAGACCTGGTTTGGACATCTAGCAGTTACATGACCTTGGGCAAATTTAACATCTCAACCACTCTCTCCTCATCTGTAAAAATGGAGGATAACAACACGTGTGTGGAGTAAATGATACAATGGGTGTGAACAGCTCGACACGGTGCTGGCACGGTTGGCAGGAGTTCCCAAACAACCCTGTAGTGGCAGCTTCTCAAGACAAGGCCAAGAGCCCTAGTGTTCTGGGTAACAGATGGGGATTTATATCTAGGGCCTGATTATATGGCTATTTATTCCCCAGAGAGGAGATAGCCAACAAGAGACGGGGATGGGGGGAGGAAAGCGGAAAGCCCTTAGAATGATCAATTTGCCTTCCCGTCCCCTTCTCCCTGCATCTGTTCTTCTCAGCAATCCTCCTAAGTTCTGTGGTAATAAACAAATAAGTTTGTCTCATTACTTTATTGACACACCTCAAGCACTGTCTGATATTCTGGAACCAAGGCCAAGGGAAAACTTATTTTTCTCTGACAGTATCTGATCTCAATTCTTTTTCTCTCTCTGCCCCTTTCCTTTCTTAGAAGAGTACCGAGCACTGGAAAACCAGTCAAGTAACTGGAAAACATACTTGGGAGGAAAATGTGGGGAGATAAAGAACTTGTGTTCTTAAGGGTGGGAAGGGACCAAGTCTTTTCCATTTCAGTAGGGAGCATTCACAGGCTTATAAATATCAATACTTTAAAAATTATTAATCAGAACTTGACTTGCTTCTTTGCCTATGTGGTATCTTCTCAAAAGTCAAAAGCACAGAAATTATTAGTCCTAGGAAAGCAGCTGTGACTATGGATCTTTCTTTGCTGTCCAAAACCACCTAGAAATAACAATCAAAATATATGCTACAGGGGCACCTGGTGGCTCAGTCGTTAAGCGTCTGCCTTCGGCTCAGGTCACGATCCCAGGGTCCTAGAATCGAGCCCCTCATTGGGCTCCCTGCTCTGTGGGAAGCCTGCTTCTCTCCCTCTCCCACTTCCCCTGCTTGTATTCCCTCTCTCGCTGTGTCTCTCTCTGTCAAATAAATAAATAAAATCTTAAATATATATATATATATATGCTACATTTACGGGGATTGGGTAAGACAATTAAGAGATGATTTTAGTTTAGTTTGAAATCCTAACTTTTCCAGGATACTGTGAACCCTGATTTGAAGCATAATAAAGCATTCAAAAAACTGATTACTTCTAAAGTTTCAAGCCTGCCCACCAAACCCAGGAGAAAGCTTTTTCTAGTGTAGCTGCTTACACACACACATAATTCCAGGCTGAAAATTTTGTTTGTAATTGAGGCAGTTAGAGCATTGAGATGTTCCTCTCTAGATTCAAGCTCATGGATTTTTTTTTAAAGATTTTATTTATTTGAGAGAGAGAGAGAGCACGCATGGGGAGGGGGAGGGGCAGAGGGACAAGGAGACTCCCTGCTGAGTGCAGAGCCTGATGAAGGGCTCAATCCCAGGACCCTGAGATTATGACCTAAGCCCAAGGCGGATGCTTAACAGACTGAGCCACCCAGGCACCCCTCAAACTCATGGATTATTATCTCCATCCTTTTTATCCACCATTTGCACTCACACTGTGTATGTGTATATACGTGTGTGTGCGCGTGCACACAGGCATTCCGTTAAGAAAGCACACAGGTCAGGTTGTTCAGATTTAATGACTCCGTGGTCTACGTTGTCATTTGAACACATCGCATCTGTTTCATTGAGTCTGCTGTCTGTAGATAGTCCAGGGCACCCAGGCTCCCAATTAGAACATTTAATCAAAGCCTTCTGCACCCCAAACCCTCACAAGAGCTCTCTAGGATGAAATAACAGGGAGATATATATTAGTTCAGTCAGTGACAAAGCACTGGTCTTTAGGGTCCAAAGATCTCTATAGCCAGCAAGAGCACAGGGGGAAAGGATAGAATAGGCGACTGATATGGTCTCTCTCAACCCAACTTTTCTGAGGCCCTCCTTTCCAGATTGCCTGAAGCCCCCTTTCCTTACATGCAGATTAAATCTACTTGTGCAAGACCAAACATAAAAAACCCAGGAAGGAGGAAAAATTGTAGTAACGCATGTGGGGAAGACGAGCATTGTGTACTGAAATTCTATGACCCCCTAAAGGAGTGGGCAAAATACCCTGGTGACAGTAACCCAAGTACACCCTGGCTTGCAGGGAGGTGGAGATTTAGCTGGAATGCTATCCAAGGGTCAACTGGCACTCCAGCCCCTCCGCCAAACTTCCACCACTTTCCTGTGAGGGTCACAGAATCTTCTGGAATCAGCAAATCTTCCTCCTCTTCTCGGTCCCTACAAAGGCAGAAACAGCTGCGGGGGAGGGGAGGAGGTTGTAAATCTCTGAGCTAATTCTTTGTTATCTAGACAGGATCAGAGTTTCCCAATTGGACCCTTCTCTGTAAAAGCCAGGATTTTTCTCTCAGTGGAAGTTCAACATTGAGGAAAAGCTAGCAAAATCATTCACACGAAATCTCAGGCCAACCTGAGGCAGACAGGTTAAGGCAGGGTCAAATGCAAGAAGCCCGCGATAACCCCATTCGGGCCAAAAGCAGGTTACTCAGGAAATGCCTAGGACTGACGTGTGCTCGGGGCCCTCTACAGGATGGTCACAGTTATGGGTGTGTTTCATCCAGACTGACCAGGCCGTACCTAGCCCCAACTAGACCAAGCTTCCCAGTTCCGGGAGAGAAGAATCTGTGGACAACAGGGGACAATCTGTCACCATTTCAAACTTCTTGGTCCTTCTCCAACCCGGATTTATGTCCCCAGAAAATTGGGGTAGCGGTGGACCAGACTCGGACCGTGATGAGATAGGGAAGTAAAGAGCCGGTCCTTATGAGTGTTTAGAAATAACTGAACTCCTTTTGGAGTCACATTTACTCCTGGTTCTGTGCCAGGAGCATAAAACTAAAACAGAAAGTCTTATTTTGAAAAATTCTCACCACTTCCCCAACTTTGGCACCTCCCAGTCTTCATCTCTCCCCGCTCTTCCCCTCACAAACACACCACCCGAACATATTGCTAGGGCATTTCCAGGATCTCTAGGGCCCAAGGACAATGTGACATTAATGGCATTTGGCAGAAAATCCCATCCCGCATTAAAGACTCTTCCAGTTCAACACAGTGAAGAAAAGAAATGATAATGTAAGAGAAGGGCAGCAGAAACCAGAGTCTGTCCTTCCCACACAAGAGGCACAGAGATTTCGGGAGTCAGTGACAAGGGCATCATCTCTTGCCAGAAGGCCACCAGCTACCGCTGGTCGGGAGCCGCATGATCACTTGTTTCTCCTCGGGACTGAAATGCAAGATGGTCAGGATGGCCGTGAGCGTCTGCTGGCGGCCCAGGGTGTCGGGCAAGGTCAGGAAGCGGTAGATGATGTTTTTGAGGTACTCCAGGTTGGCTCCCTCCCTACTCTGGTCCCTGATGTTCTTCTCAATGTGGTTCTGCAGGGCTCCAACCTGCTCGCGGTGCCGCTCGCCCTCCTCCAGCAGCCGGTCCTGCAGCTGATGCACCTCCACCTCCAGCGTGTGTCTCTGCTTCCGCAGCGATGTGATCTCCACCTCCTTGCGGGCCAGCTGCTCGGCGTACAGGAAGAAAGTGGGCTCGTTGGACGCAGCCAGTTGCAGTGCTTGGGTCAGGCTGTCTGGGGCGGACGAGTCGGCCGGGTCCCCAGGCCCCCCGCCGCCCACGGGGCTCCTGCGTCCCGGCAGGCCGGACGACAGGGCCACGGTACGCAGCTGCTCCAGCTCCAAGTCCTTCTCGGCCAGCACGGCCAGGGCCCGGTCCCGCTGCTTGTGCAGCTCCTCTTCCAGTCTCAGCGTGCGGTCCCTGGAGTCCAGCTGGCTCTGCTCCAGCTCCTGCCGGTGAGCGTGCTGCAGCCGGGCCAGCTCCTGCTTCCAGCCCTCGGCCTCCTGCTGGTGCCGGCGCTCGAGCTCCTCGCAGCACAGCCGCAGGGAGATATACTTCTCCTTCAGTTCCGCCAGCTGCTCCTGGGCCTCCTCCAGCTCCTTGGCCAGATTACAGTCCTTGGTGCTCTTGCTCTTGAGGACCACCTGGGCCCTCATCTTGTACCTCTCAAACTCCTCCTTCAGCTGTTTCAGCTCCTGCTGGTAGTAGAGCGCAGAAGCCTTCTCCCCGTCGGCAGCCTCCGAGCTGGCCAGTATCTCCAGGTCACAGAGCCTCTCCACATCCAGGGTCACCTGGCTTTTCCGGGCTGCCACCTGCAGCAGCCTCTTCAGCTTCTCCATCTTATCCTTCAGGACATTGACATCCAGACTGGACTCCTCGCCATGGCTGTCTAGGGGGGAGCGGCTAGAGGCGGCCAGCGCCAGCGTCTTGTTCTCCAGGTCCAGCTGCACGATGCGCTCCTTCAGCTTCTGGATGGCCAGCTGGTCCTTCTGCTTGGCTTTCTCATAGGTGCCCAGCAGTTCGGACACCTGAGATATTTGATTCTCCAGGGCTGCCACCCTCTGCTCTTCCACCTGAGACTGCTGGCGTAGCTGATCTTCTGCCAGGGCTGTCTGTAAAACAAGGGAACGGATGGCAACGCGTCCAGAAAAGCCGCAAAGGCCCACTGCAAACTGAGAGCGCAAGAGAGGGGGGCCAAAGGGTCACAGGACTGGGATGGCCTGGTGAGAAGGGAAAGTGGGGCTTTGTATGTTGCTTTGGAAACTAACGAAAGTTCCTGTAACCTGGCTGCGTTCTGCTCCCAGAGGTAAAGCACACCGAACAACATCAAGAACCTCTATCTATCTGCTGTTGTTCTGCTTTAGTGCCCCCACTTTTCTCCTGTCATACACAAGGCTCACATGAGAAGTGTGTTACCTTTGTTTATCATCTGTTTCCCCAAATCCTACTAAGAAATCATAGAACATTCTTTTCCTCTCCCAATATTCCTGAAAGTTCAAAACTCAGCTGGATCTCTCTCCACACTGAAAGGAGCACTGTAAAATAGCACACCTTTCCGGAACAGGCAAATTGACTAGAAGCAATCCTGAGAGGTTACTTCGGAGAAGATTCCTTTTACACCGTCCCGCCCCAGCCCCCTACCTATAGGCGTACACCGCTCCCTGTGTAATGCACATGCCCAGAGGCGGACACACTCCTCTCACTGGGCAGCTGCCGCTATACTGCTTCACAGAGCACAGCTGGTGAGATGCCAAGGCCCAGGGTTCACAGGTGTCTGGTTCCAAACCAGCCTACACCGAGGAAGCCCATATCCTGTTGGAAGCACATTCTGTGGATACTGTCAACACCATACCACACAGATTTCCCAGGACTCACAGGGCAACCTTCTGAATAGCACCAAAAATTGAGAGCGCAGCCACTTAGTTCTAACTACCAAAGGAGCCAAAACCCTAATATTTCCTACTGTAGGCTAAATGACTACCATTTGAAGGAGATGACAATAATTACCTTCCTCATTTCCTGCTGCAATTGAGCCTGGAAATGGCTCTTCAGGCAGGCAGCCTCTTCCTGAAGCTCCTGCAGCCGAGGGTCGGGCCGATTCTTCTCATCCCGAAGAGCCTGCAGCTCACCTTTCAAGTCCTCCACCTCACGGGTTAGTTGCTTGGTCTGCAGCTCAAACCCTTCCATCTGACCGGCTGCATATGCCCGTCCTGCCAGGGCTTCTCGGGTCTCTTCCAGCCGAAGCTCCAAGTCCTGGCGCTGGGTCCTCTCCTCCTGCAGCAGTTTCTGGAGCTCACGAAGCATCAAGGCATGGTCAGTCTGCTCTTGGGCCCGATCATGCTGCTGGGTGATAAGTCGGGCTTTGGTTTCTGCTATCTGCTCCCGCAGCCCCTTCAATTCTCCCTCCAGACGGCCCCTCTCCTCCTCTGCCTTTTTACTGGTATCCTCTAAGTCCTGTTTCATCTTCTTCTTGTCAGCCAGGTAAGAAGCTTCCATGCGAGACTTCTCCTGGGTGACTGTAGCCAAAGAGCTGGTCAAAGTAGCCAACTGAGTCTTCAGCTGGTGCAGTCGTTTGTCCACTTCCCCACCCCCAGAGGGTCCATCCCCACTGCTACTGCTAACGCCACTCTCCGACCCACTGGCTTCTTCGGACTTTGGAGGTGGTGGTCCACGAGCCAGCCTGTCATCCTCTACCCCAAACTCACCCTTGGTGCTGGTGAGACTGGCTGCAGTATCCAAGCTGGTGGCGGTCCCAGTGCTATCCTCGCTGTGACTGGAGCATCGGTCATCCACAGAGTCAGGAAAACAGAGGCCTGGAAGCTGGACACCTGTGAGGCCCACATCCGCTTCGTGGGATACCGACAGCACCTTAATGCTGGCCTCTAGAGCCTCCTTCTCTTTCAGGAGGCTTTTATAGGCGCGGACCACATCCTTAAGACGTGCCTGGTACTGGAGGAGCTGCTTCTTCTGCATCTCAATGGTCTCCAGCAGGTCCTTCTTGCTCGGTCCGCCCCCGAAATTCATACCAAACTTCTCCATGTTCAGACCAGGTTGCTCGACGTCAGCCAGAAGAGGGTCGCGGGGGCTGTAAACGATAGGGAGAGAACTGTCCCCGAAGTCGCTCCTCCCAGCTGTCCGAGACCGGATGCCGGACGCGGGAGAACCTGGCAGAAGCGTCCGCCGGGTCCCAGGCACCGAGGGCGGGGGCGGGTCCTATCTTGGAGGCGGAGCGACGCCGGCACAAGAGAAGCACACGGCCAGGGTTCGCCTGTACTGTCCCAGAAGCTGCTCCGCGCTCGCCCGGGCCACAGCAGTCCCGGCTGGCCCTCAGGCCACGGCCGGCCAAGGGTTTAAACCGAGCGTAACCCCATCACGACTTCCTAAGTACAGCTACCAGAAAACGGCGCTTCCGGGTCCACTGGAAGTGACGACCGCGCGACGCAACAGGCTCCGCCCCCAGGGGCGCGAGGTGGGCGGAGCTACTTCGGCCGGTGGGCGGGAGGCGGCCTGTTCCGAACCAAGCACGGCTACGAACGCAGGGCGAGCAATGTCGAGGACTCCGGAGTGATAATGTTTTGGTGGCGGCGCCTGAGCTTACCCTCGGTCAACGAGGAGCGAGAGACAGTGAGCAACGTCGCACTGGGTCCTTCTCAAACACCCGGATGAGCCACTCTTCCTCACATTTGGGGCTCAGTATCTCTGACCCTAAAGATCAACAAGTAAGACTCCCATTTAGACCACGAAAACTGCAACCCTTGATAGGACAGTTTCGGCACCTATTAGGTATATAGTATAATAATTATTAGCACCCTTCCTGAGTTCCGCTTAGTTGATTCAACAAAAGTATCTAGAAGGCACCCTATGGCCATCTGTATTCCAGGACCTTAACAAGAGTTTTGATATTTGGCCCTTGCAGTTATTCTGCTCAGTGGGTGGAAACATGAGACACAGAAAGGTTAAATAACATGCCGCCCAAGGTCACAGAGCTAGGAATCCTATCTATATCTGTCCAACTCTCAACATACCAAGTGCTGCTCCAGGTGATCACCATGAAGAGACAAGGTCCTGACCTCAAGGAGCCCCTTTCCAGTGAGAAAGCAGAGGTACAAACACAAGTCCTGCTCTCATACCAGTATGCATGGGTATATTCAAAGTGATATGGAAGTTAAGAGGAGGGAGGCCTGTCTAGGGGAGGCAGAGAAGGTTCTCAGGGAGAATACTTGGGGATCTGAAGCATGAGTAGCGATTGTCCCATCTAACTAGAGATGAGGGAAACAAGCATTCCAGGCAGAGGGAAAAGATTGCTGGGACTCCTGGGGCATCAGAGAGCCTGGCTCACCCGGGGAAGCATTGAGAATCACTTCATGGCAGTAGCTTAGGGTATGTGAAGGAGGTTGGCCACAGATGGGGCAGGCACAATAGGTGGAGCCACAAATTAAGGCATTTAGACTTTATCTTGGGTGCTAAGAAGACACTAAAAGATTTTAATCTTGAGTGGCATCATCCGGACTTGTATGACAGGTTGAAGATACCAAGGGGCAGGAGATTGGTAAGGAGGCTATTTCTGTCGCGAGAAAGAGATGGTAGTGAAATAGGGCAAGGACAACGGGGATGGAAAGGAAGAGGCTAATTAAAAGAGCTAAAGATGTAGAACTGACCTCGTCACCACAAGCTCAGTTATTATATTGAGACTCTTAAATGCACTCTTCAACCTTGTAAAAAGCCTTAAGAATGCAAGTCTGGCTGAAGAGTAAAGGAAAGTCATGGACCCACTCATACCTGGTGTCCGAAGCCTGTTCTCTTTACAGACTTTTCAAGTCAGGATGGGGCAGACCCTGGAGATCTGTTGAGACCCAGTTAATTTCTTAGTGGCCCAGACAAAATCCAGCTGTACTATACAAAACATTCAGATATATTGTTTCATCATTTTAATCTTCACCATAACCTCATGAGATAGGGCAGATATTAGTCTCCTTTTGTAGAAAATAACAGGTTGTGAGAATCGTTGAAGCTAAGCCCTCAAAAAAAGGGGGGGAAGGCAGAACTGAGATTTGAACTGAGACCTGGAACAATGTTACATAGTGGGCATTCAATATTTGTTGAATGAGTGAATGAAGGTTCTCTGATTCTCAGCTCACCTCACCACGTCCAGTCCATAAGCCTACTGGCACTCCAGTTTCAAATCGCTTGCCCTTACTCCACTGAGTAGCCTACTAGTTCATCCAAACCAAGTACTAAATTTGTTAAGCATTTATTAGGTGCCTGGTACTGACCCAGTCTCCATCGTAGAAGAAATTTAAATTAATTCCTGTCTTGTTATTTCCCCTCTGCTGAGTGGGGAAATTACCTGTGAAGCACTTTGAGTCTAGGGCCACAAGAGTTTCATAAATTCCTGGACAGGTGGGCATTAAAAATCCGGGTTCCCAGGTCTGTGGCAAAGTAAAGAAGCTTCAAAAAAAGCTGCCTGGGTCAGCTGAAGGATTTTGTGTCTGGGCCATCGGGGCAAAGGCGTTGTTTTCCTGCATGCAGGAGTAGGTTCTGCTGATTGCAAAACCAAGAAGGCCAGCTAGAGCTCGGGCACCTTCTTTTTCCACCTCCAGCGCACTCCTCTCGAGATTCTACGGTCCCTTGAACCACCTGCAACGCTCAAAGCCCCTCCCTCTCTGGGCGCTGAAGGGGCCAAAGAGAGGACTAAGACGCGAGCACAGAGCTTCCGCTCCCCCAGGAGGGTGGTGCATACAGTGGGTGATGCCAGTTCGCAAGAGCTAAACCGGAGCACAGGATGGGCTGGACGCGACAAACCAAAGCCCAGGGGCCGGCCACTTCAAGCTGGGAATCGAGGGCCGTTGTGGAGCATTGTAGACTTTCCTCGGCCCCGCTCGGGCTGCCGCTGAAGCAGCCACAGATCTGCCAGCGCTTTAGAAACGGGGAGAGACCCAGACTCTTTCTTTCCCTCTTGAAAGCCGGCGCGGGACGCAGCGAGGCTGGGGAGACGCTCTAAGCTCCAGTTTTTGCCTGAGCCGGAGCCTGGGGGCGGGGAAGGGGTGGGGCGGGCCCGCGCTGACGTAGGGCGGGCCGGGACGCGCGGAGGCGGCGGCGGAGCCTCCTCCTTCTGCTGCTGCACCCCATCCCCCAGCGGCCGGCCGGTTCCCGTCCGCACCCCGCGTCCGTGCCCGCACCCCCTCCCCCGGGCCCCGCCATGGGCCTCACCGTGTCCGCGCTCTTTTCGCGGATCTTCGGGAAGAAGCAGATGCGGATCCTCATGGGTGAGGCAGATCAAGCGCGCGGCCCGGGCCGGAGCGTCGGCCCCCGCGCAGCCCTCTCGCCCCCGCGTCCCTCCGAGCCGGGCTCCGCCGGGTCTCTGACCCTGAGTCGCCCACCTCCTAACCCCCTGGGGTCACTGCTCTCGGGTGGGTCGCAGTCTGCAGCGCCGACCCCGGGGCCTGAGCCCGGGAGCTGCGGGCCTGGGTGGGGTGAAGCTCCCTCCGCCCCAGCCCGGCTGGTAAGAAGGGAGGATTCCGCCCTTGGAGACGACTTTTAAAAGGAGCGCGGCCCTCCTCCCATGCCCCTTACCCCCTGGCCCTCTCCCGCCTCTCGCCCGCTTCGGGGGCACGAGTTGGTGCTCACCACCCAGACTGTTCTTAAGGCCTCGAAGGTAGAGAACAGCGCGCACCTGCAGGCGCTTGGGCTCTGCGCCCCCGTCTCCATCAGCTGTCCTGGCCTCTCCCCTTCCCTGGTCTCTAGAGGGCTCCCTCGCTCCCGTCTCCATCCCTATGCCCCTCTCCTTGCAGTTGGCTTGGATGCAGCTGGCAAGACCACAATCCTGTACAAACTGAAGTTGGGGGAGATTGTCACCACCATCCCCACCATAGGTGAGTTCTGAGGCGAGGCCGGGAGGAGCGGGAGGCTGGTGGCAGGCCTTCCCAGGGTCCGCTACCCATTCAGCCTGAGGCCCTTTTCTCTGCAGGGAGCTGACCCTGACACCAGACACTGCTACCTGAGAAGTGGGTCATAGTTACCTTTAGTTGCTGGATGGTGCCGAGGCGGGGTGAATGTGACCCAGCCCCGCCTGGTCTGTGGACTGCCTGTCCTCTGGGGTTCTGTTCCCATGGGACTTGATCATTGCCTTCTGGTTTTATGTCCCTGATGAATGCATCTAGATTTAGAGAGTTCCTTTCTTTCAGGACTTTGTTCTCATGTTTTTTTTTTCCCCAATTATCTCCAGGCTTCAATGTGGAAACAGTGGAATACAAGAACATTTGTTTCACAGTCTGGGACGTGGGAGGCCAGGACAAGATTCGGCCTCTGTGGCGGCACTACTTCCAGAACACTCAGGTGGGGTGGGGCTCCCCAACCCCAGGAGAAAAAGTGTTAGGGCTACAGAGACCGAGATGTTGGCCTACACTGGGCCCGCAAGCCAGGAAGAAACCTTTACCTCCTGTCTGTCCGCGTTCGTAGGCTTACCTCGCCTCATTCTTCAGGAATGGCCTTAGTCTTCTGAGACTTAGCCACCTTAGCTTCCCCTGAGAAGCAGGGCTTTGGGGCCATGCTGCCTTTATCTATCTATCTATCTATATCTATTTATTTATTTTTAAAGGAAGCTTTTTCTCCCAACGTGGGGCTTGAACTCACAACTCCCAAGATTGAGAGTTGCATGCTCTGAGCCAGCCAGGTGCACTCATGCTGCCTCATTTAGCTCTCGTTTGGTCTTTCCCTGTTCCCTTGCACTTCTTCTAACTACACTGCTTGCCTGACGGCAGAGGTTGTATCCTTTGCAGGGTGTCTCCAGTTGGTGCCAGCATGTCTGCAGAGCTTTAGTGAAAATTTACAAGATAAGAAGGTTTAGACAAAGATGGGAAAAAGAAAGAGCCAGACTAGGGTATGTCCCAGGTAGGAGTGATCGCTTGTCCTTTCTTCCTTCCCACCCAGGGCCTCATCTTCGTAGTGGACAGTAATGACCGAGAGCGGGTCCAGGAATCTGCTGATGAACTCCAGAAGATGGTGAGCACCCAGAGCCCTGGGAACTGAGCCCTCATTTGGAGACAGAACTCTGAGATCTCTGTGCTAGGGTGAAAGTCAGGAACATCTCACAGGCCTTGAATGTGTTTCTCTTTGTGGACAGAGTCACAAGGCAGGCATATCTTACTCTCTTTTGAATTTGAGTCAGGTAAAAAAGCATAGGACTGACTTTTTCCTTGAATGCTCACGGCTTCACATCCAAGGAGTTTGGTGGGGAAAGGGGAATTATATGTGGTGGAGAGAAACAT